GTTATTAATTAATTTTATCTATCAAACTAAATTATGTCAGTATTTTAAAAAACAATACATAAAAATTTACGTGGACTTAAAACACTTTTAATGGGTCATAACTATTGCCTTTCCCATTCTGCCACCATGGAGTATGGACCTTCTTTGAAATTTCAACAAGTATTTCCTCCAATTTTCCATAATGCAGAACTCATTCTGTCTATATCACGGTAAGTCCTTTCCCATAACTTCTCTTCCTCTCTTCTTCAAACAATTACTTATCCATATATTTTACCTAGCTAATAGATATTTTGCAGGTCCCATGGAAGCTGTAACTATCGTTGTAGGTCCTCTTCTATCTGTCGCGTTCAAGTCACTTCTTGACAAGTTGAACTCTAGTGAATTGCTCAACTTCGAAAAGAAATGAGTTGCAGAGCTGCAAAACTGGAGAAATCTTTTACCCGAAAAAATTGCTCGTCTTGAAGATGCAGAGGAGAGGAAAGAAACTGACTATCTCCTGACATTACAGCTTGCTGATCTCAAGGGCTTGGCTAATGATATGGAGGATGTCGTTGGTAAATTTGAGGGTGTTGATACCAAGAGATGTGATTTGATTGCAAAACATAAGGCTAACCCAAGGCAGGTACGGAAACCTGTCTCCTCGTGGTTTAAGGGCTTAAGATTCAGGTTTGATCGAGAGACTGCTTCAGAGGTAAAGGAAATCACCACCAGATTGCAAAATTTTGTGATGGATACAAGAATGTTGGGGATCATTAGTCTAGGGGTCAAAGATGGAGAAAGCTCAAACAAGGTAGGCTTAAGAAGTTTGCCTACTTCTTCTCTGCTTGAACGTTATGTCTATGGTAGGGAGAGAGATAAAGAGGCTGTTCTTCAGATGCTGCTCAATGATGAAGGCAATGGTGATGGAGACTCTGTTATTCCTATTGGGGGGGCAGGAGGAGTGGGAAAGACTATTCTGGATCAACTTGTTTACAATGATGAAAAATTGAAGGAGGGTAGGTTTCAATTGAAAGCGTGGGTTTTTTTGTTTTTTCCTCATTATTTTGATCTTCTCTTGATAACACAAAGCATTCTACATCAAGTGACCCAAGAAAATTGTGATTTGCAAGATCTTAATTTGCTTCAAGAGAGACTGAAAGTGATGAAGTTGAATGATGTATGGAACTTGAACTACTGTCATTGGGATCTGTTGCAAATACTTTTCAAATCAGTGGCATCTGGAAGTAAAATAATTGTCATGAACTCGAAACAAGGATATTGTGAAAACCTTGAAAGGAAATGAGAATTTTCACAATCTAGAATTGCTACCGGATGATGCTTGTTTGTCGTTGCTGGCCTAACATGCATTAGGAACAGAGAATCTTGATGCTTATACAGACCTAAAGGGGATTGGAGAGGAAATTGTTAGAAAGTGTAAAGGATTGCCATTGAGTATAAAAATCATTGGCGGTGACTTGCATGGTAAATCTTGTTATGAGGAGTGGAAACATGTATTAAACAGTCAGAAACTGAATCTACCTAAAGACGAAGGTGACATTCTTCCTGCTCGCAATTGAGCTAACTACCTTTTCCTTACGTCATAGAATAAAAAGATCCTTGTAATTAAATTGTGCCAATATTGACTATGGCAGTTCAGGGTCAAAGAATGTTTTGTTTGTATGCTTGTGTGTAAAAGCCGTTTCAATTTCTTTGTATAATAATAAAAATAAATAAATAAATTGTTACGCGTCGTTGCCTTTTCCTTAACTTACGTTAAATAGTCGGGTGGATTCCACTAAATAATGATGCTCTAGGGTCTAATGATTTCAAAATACGTGTCAATGTTATTTTGAGCCAGTGTTGGCCTTGGGTGGGTGTTCCTAACATTTC